TAATTATTAAGGCCCCCATACTAGACAGACTGGGGTGGTCGGGTTTCTGGAAGGCTTCTCTCTTAGGGTGCTCCCTGCGAGGTTGTCGGCTTGAGGGTTGGTCGTTTGTTCGGGGCTCCCGGATTCAGAGCCTAAGGTTATTCTTATAGGGCATAGTCCTGTTATCTACGCTGTCCCATACCTTCATTTGCTTGTATGATATATGTCATACATGTATGTATACGTCTGACCTTCCTCATGAATTCTAATAAATGTTGCGTAAGATAACCGCACATGAATGAAAGTTGGTTTTGGGATGTAGTCTCAGAGGTGAAGTCTTTAGGAGATTCGAGATCTTGACTGAGAGCAGTCTTGATAATCGGTTTCTTTACTCTGCTTTAAAGGCCTGAGGGTGCTCTGGGTAGCTCGTTGATGTTTGGGAGTTTGCGGGAGTCGTTTTTTTTTTTTTTTTTGAGGGGGGNNGGGGGGGGGGGGGTGAGGTTTGCATGATTTTTCCTTCCCGCGCTGCTATTCAGGGTCCTGTAGCTGGTTTTGGTGCCGCACTGGTTCCCAGTACCCTGGCTTCCATGTTTGCTTCAGCCGAGCCCAGATTCGGAAACCCGGGCATCCCCACCCTGAAGTCCAAAACCGCTATGTCCCTACGTCTGAGGCTCAAGACGGCTCGCCGGGAGATGAAGGACTCCTTTGCCAAAGGGGGCGTGCAGTTTAGGTTTTTGATATCCCAGGATGCATCAAGTGGTGGCTGAAAATACGTTCCAGAAATCGGGAACAGAACCCAAAGAATTCAATACCCCTTAATGAAGGAATATACTTTAAATCTTCTTAGGGATCCTACTATAAATCTAAGGTATATTCCGTAATTCAGGGGTATGGGAGTCTCTGGGAAGCCTCGTTTTGGGACCTTCGGCCGCCTTAGGCGGCCTGAGGTCGGGCCATGGCTCCATGTCGCCGTGAGCTCCCGACAGTTTGGGGTTTTGGGGTTTGGGGGATTAAGGGTTTAGGGGTTCCGGGTTTTGGGGGGTTTAGGGTTTTGGGGGTTTAGGGGTTCGGGGTTTTGGGGGGTTTAGGGTTTTGGGGGGTTTTGGGGTTCACATCTGTGTGGTGTAAACTCCACGGCTGCAGTAAAAGGTCGCAACAAATTCTGAACCCGTTTAGGGTTTAGGGTTTAGGGTTTAGGGAGGATCACCTAGACCTGAACTCCATACATAAGCCAACAAGGAGTATCCTGAGCCCTAAACTCTTCAGAATCGGCCGATTCTGGGGGAGGGGTCGAGTGTGCACTCCTATTTGTTTCGAGTGTGCGCTCTCCGGTGCGTTTCGAAGCAGAAGTGCTACGCTGCACGAACAATCTAGCGGTCCTTTCATTCCGGCTATGTATGTACATATATATATATATA